TGCGGCAGTGAAATCCCGGCCGTAGGCCGGGCTACACTAGTTATATTATAATCCCCCTATAATACATGAGCAGGCCAGCGATTTAAATTCAGTATTATTGTATGTAAAGTTTATACGATATATGAAACAATAACTGCTGTATACTAAAATTTATTCAAACTCAAAAATATTTTGTAACTTTCGTATGAGAATTTTTGAATCTGAGAAGTTGACCATTTTCGCCGAGAATACTCAAAAATGTCCCCCCCCCCCCCCTCACGTGTCATAACAGATATGGGTAATTTTCAAATAAATTTTACAGAGTATAATATTACAATTCAATTTACAAAGACGAAAATATTTTGGACATAATATGTGCCAACTATTCACTATAATATTCGTGTCCAACTGTATAAAAAGACAACAATACCGAATAAGAATGAGGAAGGTTTGCCAAATAGTGAATATTTTAAATTACAGTGATTTTAAGTTGACACCTTTAGGAGGAAGAAGGAGCAGCGAGATGATTTCTGAAACAGAACAAACAGGAAGAGGGTATCAGGGTATAATTATTAGTCAGCTCAGGGGCCATCCTCTACTGAAAACACTACAAGATTGATTGCAGATTAGTGTTCCCAGATAAGATTAACCCTGAAAATTACATCCCATTTTCATTTTCGTGTGTATTTCAATTACAGGGTCAGGAAATGAGGAAATCAGGAAATGTAAAGAGTACCATTTCACAGTCTAATCAAAACAAAGTACACACTGCAAGAATTTGCAGGACGGTAAGTTTCAATAGACTCAACCTATATTTAATTTATTTAAGAAGTCTTGTCAAAGTTGAACGAGGAAAATCAACTAATGTGGTGAGAGCAAGGAAACGTTTGTTTATTTAACCACATCCCACACTAAGCCACACCAACTGTAACAACATTTACACTGAAGGAGAATACACTGTAAACTAAGGAATTTGAGGAGGGAGCCGAGCGGGTTTCTCTAGGTAATTGAAGAAACAAATTACAAGTGCAAACTACGGTAAGTTGGCAACTCTAACCTAAACATTGTAGTTTTGATACTGAAAGTTTGCTAAAGGCGAGATAAACATTCAAGAGTTGTTAAGCTGTCGCTCTTAAAGAAAGGTACACCTGCCGACTTCGTTAAACGCAGCCGTTTAATGCCTGTCCAGCAATACGACCAGGGCAGGAACTACCCCCGGCATAGCACAGTCATAATGACACGCAAATTAACATTACCAGGACACACAAGATTAGAGTACATGCTAGCTGACTGGATGCTACTTCTCCTTTCTTACATGCTTACAACAACTGTTTAATTCACACGTCAAGCAGAAAGCACTTCGACAGGAAGAATTCCAGCTTCACGGAAAGAATTCCGGCTTCACAGATTTACTACAGGAGGAAGCTAGAAGCATACCGTCGTATAACAATAACTTACTCTGCTTGAATTTTTAATGCTAAAGAAAGTACGATAAAAATCAAAACGAACCTCGCTTGTTAAACCAATTAGTAACTAAAGTAATGGCAAGTGCCCACCACTTTTCCATATCCTCTTAGTATCTAAAAAATATCTCCACATTTCAAATACACAAACGAGCGTGTACTGATGTTATTTATAAGTGTTTACTGTAACAAAACTCACAAGAGTAATGACTAATGAGGGATCATTAAAAAGCATAATATAATCCAAAAGAAGGTTTGAAGATTGTCGCCACAAATTTAGTTACGTGAAAGCATATATTTTAGAGCAAATGTATCTAAAATATAGAGCGAATATTCTAGAATACACAGCGAATGTAACTAGAATTTAGAGTAAATGTTTCCAGACTGAAGAGCGAATGTAACTAAAATATAGAGCGAATGTTGCTACAATTAAGAGTAAATGTTTCTAGACTAAAGAGCGAATATTCTAGAATGAAGAGAGAATGTTTCTGAAATACATGACTTCCATGATGTCCGGTATCATTACATCACAAGACACACGTTCCCTGATCTCATTCCTTCGTTACAAAGCACAACATTGTTGTAGTAAATCTATATAAGTCACCATGGCTACCAATTTACAGAAGTATGGCCAGTAACAAAGATGATTACCTAGATTCTAGATACAAACTGGCCACAGCCATCGAGTGCATTCTTTGAATATTTTACCGGGAAGGAAGAAGCGCGAGAGCTCGACGAAACTTGATATATCCTACACGGAAATAATTATGTCTAAGAGAATATGCTGTATTCCAAGTTAGGGCATGTTTTCAGGGGCAGGAATGAGAGGTAGTACCTAAAAACAGGGCACTTTTGTGGGAGTGACTTTTAAACACCTTATTTGTTATAATCGTTATACTGAAACACGAGATCTCCCTTCAATATGAAGAATTCGTGCGTCAACATTTGATGAATTATGTCCTCCGATGGTCAAAGATATTGGAGTTCTCTTGTAAGGATTTACTAATATTCTTTAAAAACAAGGAATGAGAATTGGAAATAACCACTAAAATGCCCAAAAAAGCGACGGAAGGCTGCAGTTAAAGACGTTGGCACATTGCCCAAATGAAAATGTCCTGTAACTGAAACCTGTAACTAAGCGAGTAGAGTACCCGAAATTACACACGCGTCATCTAATGGGAAGCCATCTCAAAGCCAAGTGTTATCACCCGCATAAACTGACTGACCAAGTTTCAGTACACGGTACATTTTCTATACACAGTTTACAGCCCCATGGAATGACAGCCCCTTTACTCGACACACAACAATATATCTACACTATAATACTACACGGTAATTACTCTTCCCGCCGCCGGACGCATTCAAGACAGTGAGGAGGGCCCTGTGCGGACCAGAGTGAGGCGTTACGTGTGAAGCGAGTGTGCGGCGGAGTTTGTGGGTGGTCTGTGGAGGAGGCGTGGTGATCGAGAGTAGCGGTTTTCTTGCGTTGTGTTACATTTGGTATGCTATTGTGTGTGCGGCTGCGAGCTGATCACATTATTGTAGGAAAACATTATTACAATCGCTACTTTAGTAGTTAGTACTGCGTGTGTATGTGTATTTTTGTCCATCGTGCAGTTTAAACTTTAGGTCTGGTGTAAAAACTGGCGAGCCACTGAAATCTAGAGAAAAGTATAAAAGCGCCGTGACACGCAACTTGGCAAGCAATTTGGGAACAACCCTGAAACTTGAAGGGTCTCTCTAGAAGTAATGAGATGAAGTAAACAGTACGGTACATTGTAAAGCAAGCACGCCAATATGAACTCAGAGACACCCAAAAATAGCTTAAACATCTGCTGATAGGCTTCACCCAAATATGGAATAATTGGATTGTCAATGTTGGAGAGCTAGCTTGTTCTAGAATTTCGCGGCGGCTCCCTCAGGTTAGCGAGAGAGCTATTATAATATTAATAGTGTGTTCTTGATCCAGGGAGAAGCATGTGCTTGTGATCTTTCAGCTGCTTACTGTACAGTTTACCGAGCTTGGTTGTCGTGAATATTACACAGTTGTAGCCGGTGATTTGTGGCTAGGTTTGGTGCTGGTTAGTACGTGGTTCCCTGAAGGACAAAGGCCTTAAGGCCCTATTGTCGGCCATTGTCGACTACAAGGGACCACATCTGGCCCCACATCTTTACTTTCTGAAAGTTTCCAGTCGAATTTTGGCGGCCATTTACATTTTACAAGGCGCCAATCTTTACCGAGGACGGTAAATTAAAGGCTGTTGACAATTGTGCTGGCTTGACTAGCTGACGTGCTAATTTAATGTCAAGTTGTACCAGCCCACTCACTCAATTAGGTGATCAATTAACACGCAATTACACATTTTCCACACACAAATTACACGCTTAATTACCCGGAATTAAACGCTCAGTAGTCACAAAATTCAATCACTGAACTTAGCAACTTTTATACATTATTATTAACCACATTTCATGAGGTAAAACTCCTAAACTTGCTCTCCGGTGCGAGCTCAAGTCTGACTAAGATCTATATTAGTATATATTTGATTATGCTATACACTGCTAAGTCCAAGTCTGTATCGTAAACTTATAATCATTGGCATTTATAAATCAAGAGGCTTGCATATAATGAACATATTGACACGGGTGCAGAGTTGAGTCTGTACGGAACCTAGTAGTTTCAGATCCTTGTTTAACTTGCCGTACAGCAAGGTCATCCACTACTTTAGCCCGGCGAGGCACATAACTCCCTCTACAACTCCATGACAAATGTTTCATATATACTAGCCGAGTTCACAAGTTATATCCTTGTGTTTGAGAAGAGCTCGTTAGAACTGCTTCCTTTCCCTTCAGTATCCCACAGTCTCTCGAGTTTCCCGGAAATGGCTCGTACGATCCAAATCACTTAGGGGTGGTTCATATATAATATAATCAATTTGTAGGCAATTTTAACGTAATCAACACCACCCCCTCCCCTCAGCTCTGATTACTTAATATGTGAATACGTTACTTAAAGATGAGATTTGAACGACCCCACCGCCCACGTCAATTAAAGATGAGATTTGAACGACCCCACGTCACTTAAAGATGAGATTTTTTGGCACGACTACCGAAATCTGGATATTATCCCAGATCTGAAAAGCTTACTCAAATCCTTAACTTACCGAGTAACCAAACCCTAATAATATCCTAATATCTCAGCCCTGTATGTAACCCTTAATCCACCTCAACTGTAAATCTGGCCGTTGCCATGTTCCCATGCTAATACCTAGGTGTTGGGATTTAGCACTAGTTCTAATATTATCTGGTTAGGATGATCTTGAGGTAGCCGTGAGATATTAAATTGTCACACCGTTTGAATGTGACATAATTGAACCTTGATGACACTGCACTTGAACAGACAGCCACTGATTTCACACTGCGTGTAGTTGGTTGGGTAATTACCGAGGCTCAAGAATTAGTTTAACTTTAGGTCTGCAATCAACATTTTGTTACCATTATATACCTTTTTAACTGTAATTCTCGAAATTGTAATGGCAAACGAATAAAACTTCCAACTTGCTAGAATAAAACTGGCAACCTGTACCACCAAATAAACCAATACAATAAATACTGTAACTGAGAATTAAAAACAAATTATCCGCCACCAATAGGAACCGAAAAATTGTGGCTCTTTCTCATGCTTTCCTGAATAATAACTAAATTCTTCTGCCACAGTTCTAATTTATTCTTAATGAAGAGCCATTGAGGATCTAGGAAGGTCCTGTTAATGGTGCTGCTGATCAATATCTTCCCTTCAGGCTGGTTTATCTTACCCTTGATCAGTCCACTACCAATTGCCTCGATAACAAACGGTTCCAAATCTTCCGTTACAAGGTTCAACTTGTCAACTAGCTGTGAAAACTCGATCTCATTGCAGTCCTGGGCCATGCTAGCCAGGGTCAACAGCCTCATCTTCCGTAAGTTCTCCTCGTGGGTAACTGCCAGCTTCTCCACAAACTCCACGTTGTTGTTGTAGAACTCAATGTAGTCGTTGAGATCTCCGTTTACAAATATCTGGAGGAGCTCGTGGGAAAGCTGTCCGTCCAGCGCGCGGATTGGGTGTAGGTCCAGGAGGTGGTCCATGACGAATATGTTGGGGTGGGCAATGTGGGAGATAACACAGATGTGCGCATCAGGCTTAGCTTCTACTCCCTCATTCTCAGAGTACAGTTTGAGCAGTAGCACCAGTGCCTGGATTGCTTTCTCTCCTTGTTGGATTGCGGAGAAGGCCTCGTGGAGGAGCCGGTAGATGTCACGTTGTTCCTGTACGTCACACTTCCACTTGTCCATCCACCCACTGATCTGAAACAGTACGCCCGGGTTAGTTAAGAAAAGTGGTCATTATCTGTTACACTACCAGAAGGTACACCACGGAATATATTCTCTGTTGTATATCACGTGATATATATCTATATATTACGTAGATTGTAGAGTATGTTAGACATTAATTCTTTTAACAGTCTTATAAATATAAAGTAAAGGATGATATGCGCCGGTTAGGATTTCGGTATAGGTCAATAAAAATTTCAACAATGAATAATAAATGAATAGTTTTAAGTGCAACTCCTTATCTCCCCCGGTTTACTAGGCTAATATAACACAGTACCACGAACTAGCTGACACATTAAATAACATGTTGATACCATGTCGTTATACGTTACTACTAAATAAAGATAATCACATAATATACAGGGTATACAGTTAGTGTGTTTATAAGTTTATATAACTGTGTGTAGCTATGTCTAGAGATAGCTATAATATTATGTGCTTTATGATATATTGTATTGTATTGTATCAGATGCCATCGTGGAGTAGGTGGTCACTGGTCTCCTGCACCTTTTCCCCCTCGACATAATATATAAAACCTAAACATGCAACCTACAATCCGAAGGTGATTGCAGCCCTTGTGATATAACACGACTGTTAAATAACTTCTCTTATTTTTACTTAATAATCTAATAGAGTAATACATGTATCAGATGAGGCAGTAGATTCACTGTCAAGATTAGAAATGTGTGGTATGTACTTAAGATGTACTTATCTTATATCACGTACAATCTAAACACGCGGACAGGTACACTGTAAATTAACGAAAATGTAGTAAAAATTTTTAAATGACACAGACATGCACTACAACAGTACAACTACAGCTCTACAATAATGATTTTTATTTAAAAACTTGTCTACCCGGAGATATTAAAAGATAACAATATGCAACGTTCCGTAACATACATCTGAGCAAGATGAGAACCAGGTGTGGTTACATAAAACACTTCTGCACTTGGCCAATATCACAGTATTTTCCGAGTTACGTACTACATTTAACAATTTAAATAATCAACAAAGTAACGAGTAAAAATTGAATCCCACTAATTTAAAACAACTAATTTACAACAACTATATTACCTGGTCGATATCGAGAGTGGCGTGTCTCAGCTGTCCAGTCTGCACAACCAGCTTCAGAACATTGACCAGTAGCTGGTATGTAGATCTGAGAGTGGGCTGGTAACAGGAGAACTGCTGGGACAGCAGCTTGCTTTTTAGGGGGAGGCGCTCAGAGGTGGTGTCTGCTACTATTGCGTTACTCAGCTTCTTGCTTGTTTCTTCTATCTGGTCCACCTGGGAATGGTTATAGTTTAGATTTTATTATTAGTTATTATTACAATTCAAACTTTATTATTACAGTTTAGATTTTATTATTACAATTCAGACTTTATTATTACAATTTAGATTTTATTATTACAATTTAGATTTTATTATTACAATTCAGACTTTATTATTACAATTTAGATTTTATTAAATTACAATTCAGACTTTATTATTACAATTCAGACTTTATTATTACAATTCAGACTTTATTATTACAATTCAGACTTTATTATTACAATTCAGACTTTATTTCAAATCTTTGCAATTATCTGATTACATATGAATTAAATTATCACAACGTCACGATTATCTCAGCAGGATTACTAAATACTGTTAGCTCGTGAGACAAGCGCATTTTCTATACAGGATACATTAATTATAATATATTATTGAATATAATAATAATAAGATAATGAACTTCAGGACATGTCCCATACTTCTTATAAATTATAACCCTATTTTTAGCTCAACTAAACACTGCACTGAAGACAACCAGTAAACACTACACGTTATATTACGTTATTACACGTATATAATATTATATATTACACGTGATATTCATGTGTATTCTAGTGCGGAGACACGTGACAACTAGTGACCAATAAATCCCCAGAATCACAATTGTTACACATTATACTATACTATGTGTACTGTGTAGTATAGTATACAGTCGAACTGGTTTACACTGTCATTCAGTTATATTGCATAATACAAGTTACAGTCTACACGCCGCACCAGTATTGTATAGTGTAGAGTACACTACACTATACAATACACTGCACAGTACACTAAACAGTACACTACACTACACAGTACACAATAAACTATATAGTTTGAGCTGAGTACACTGACTACTGCACACAAATACCTCTCCAGTTGGGGTCTCCACTGCCAATTACAATTAACAGCACCAGACCACCAGTGTAATTACAGTGTAACTACACGTGTAATTAGCAGTACCAGGACACTGGTTATTATTACACTGCATACCTGTGACAGTAACTGTATCATGGAGATGAGAGAGAAGAAGGCACTCTCCACCTCTGTATCAGCCGCGCACTTGGTAAAATACAGGGGGTAAGCCTCAATGAGTTGGGGAAGCAACTCTAAGAACGTATCCTCGTTCTCCTCAAAGTTCTCCGGAAGGTCAAACTTAGCACCGTAGGTTTCCAGAAGGTTCTTCATTTCCAGCGCTTGTGATAGGTAGGATATACCTATAAAACTGGGCGCAACCAGATTGAGTACGTTCGACATGGTTGGGGTCCTGTCTTGTGCTCCTAAAACATTATGTAATTTATTAATTAAATATAGTTAATCGGTTAATTTTCAAAATTTATTAGTTGATTAATTGACTGTTAGTTAGTTGATTTATATTATACTTATTTTTTATTTATTTATTTTTATATTATACTTATTTTTTGTTTATTTTCTTATGAATAAGTTTACATTTATTTATTTTGTCTGTTTAATCGTTTACTTATTATGCTATTTAATAATAACTTTACATGGTTGACGTTAGTTAATATTTGTATGATTTGAGAACTTTTAGACACGACTTAATTTTCTTTTTAGTAAAATTTACTTTTAATTTGTTTATTCATTTCACGCGATAGGCTTGATTTTTAGTCATTACACTATTACAGTAGAAACTATGTAATTGAAATTAAGAGATTTGTTCCCAATTTTGTAGCTTAATAACAGAAGATTTTTTAATGGATCCCTCCATTCTGAATGTATCCTAATTATTAATTATCCTAATTAGTAATTATCCTAATTATAAACGGTACATACCAAGTAAAACATTATTTCTGAAAATAGATTAGATTGATTAAAATAATTAAAATATATTATAGCAACCAAAACAAAAACCAGTCAAGGTATTGCACGTCACGGAGTCTAGTGGGTCACAAATAAGAAAATCAAACAAAATGAAAATTAAAATCAAATATTCATTTAAAGATGACCGGATGTTAGATTAGTTGAACATTCATTAATGCCTAAAAAGCTTACTTTGGGACTATTATTAACTAGAATTTATGTTTCTTTTTTCTTAAAAAATGTTACCAAAAATGAAATTGTACAAAACTAAAAGGAAATTAGATTTCACTAAAAAGAAAAACGTTAACCTAATTCACAGGTGCCAGATGGGCCGCAATTATGATTGAAATGTGAGACGAAACTTAAAACGTAGAAAATGGCAGAGAATTGTTTCACGTTTGTCTGGACATGTGATTTTGTCACCCATTATGGATTTGACTGGTTGATGTGCAGCGAGCTGATAGGTTACAATCGCTGTCACGTGGTGTGACGTCATGTCATGTAGTGTGACGTCATTTCACGTGTCAATACAAACTTGTAAAACCTCCCCGGTAATCGGTATTACCAACGTTAGAAATGAAACTTAAATTTAACACATAATTCTTTGCTCTCGTCATCAAAGGCTAAAAATGGTTCGATTCGTCAGTTGTCTCAGAAATTATTGCTGGAGACAATTAAGATCAGATACAATTAGATTTTTGTTGAAAAACTTGCAGATTAGTAAATTGTAGGGTCAGACAATCAAAAAAAATAACCAAGATACATAAAAAGTAATGCTTCGGACAACATAATCAAGAAGCCATCAATACCTAAAAATATATAATATAATATAACTATCAAAATAAATACTAGCATCTAAAAACTACTGCTACGAGCTACAAAATATATCATCAACTTAATAATTTAGCCTACGTCAACATCGTCTTCCTGATCTGGACCACTGTCTTTCGACAACACCCCGACATCACTCCCCCTCTCATAACTACTGCTAAAAACAAAGATACTACTCGACAAAGATTTGTGCTTTCTATCACGAAACTTCTTGCCAGCTCCGGAAGCAAAATGAAAACTACTGATATGCGATCTCAACTTGGAGACCGTGTCACTTTTAAAGGAGCAGAGAGGGCATTTAACTATAGTGTTGGTTGGGTTCTCGTCCTGATAGGTAATCACATGGTGATCCTCAGCCAGGTGTTTGGAGAAATTGAGGTTGGAGCTGCAGGAGAAGTTACAAGAGTTTGATAGGATGCACTGGAAGAAACTTGTATCCTTGGAATCAGGTTCTACCAGCTTGATGTGGGCGCTTTTAGCATGCCTCTCAAAACAGGTTCCTGATGGGAAGGACTTGAGACAAACATCACAGGTCCTACACAAACACGGTATATCGTGTTCAGGTACCTTGGTTTTCTTGCAGGAGATACACTTTATACCCACCACCTTGTGAACTGTCTTCATGTGTTTTATTATATTCATCTGAAGTTTGGGTGAGGTCCAGTTCTTCATTTTCTTGTTTAGAGCTACCCTGCAAAGTGGGCAGGTTGTGATGTCTCTAATGGCTTGCATGGACAGGTCTTTAGACTCGTACAGTTGTTTGTAGCTGATGATTTGGTTAACAAGTAGGAGTGGAGTTGGCTGAAAATGTTCCCGTAAATTTACTAAAGGCTCCTCGGTAACTTCCTTTAGCTTTTTAGTGTTATTATCCAAGATTACAACAATCGAAGTATCGCTGGGAGCTGGTGTTGTCAATTTAGTTTTCTTCAAGGTAACGGGCTCGAGTATGAAGTGAGCAGGCTGGATACTTTCCACCTTTTGGTGAAAATCCGAGTTTGGTGTAGAAGATGTTTCGAGGTTCGACGTTAATGGTGTTTCAAGGTTCGACTTTAGACTTGATATTGAGGATGCTTCAATGATCGATTTGAGATTTGATGTTGAGGGTGCTTCAAGGTTCGACCCCAGGTTTGATGTTGAGGGTGATTCAGGGTTTGATTCGATAGTGGGCTCTAATTCTTTAAAGAAACTGTTGACCGAGGACAGGCTGAATGCCTTCGGCTGGGTTGGTTCAACAAGTTTAGTTCCGTGTTCTGCAGAGTGTTTACTGTCGCGATTAGGGGAATATAAATTATCTGAGAGACTCACAACTGAGCTGACCTGTATCCGAGACACTGAGGATTGTCCTGCCACAGGAGCTGAAGAAGAGGACTCGAGCGACCGAGTCATAGGGTCAACTACCTCACTCGGAGGATTGAGAGAAGTTTCCTTGTTCCAGTGCCAGTGTTCTTGTTGTCCAGCAAGGCTAACAATTGAAGTCAGCTTCAGATCCACTGTCCGGAGTGAATCACTCGGATCACTGCATCCTATCTGACAAGTTCTTTGTGACTCCAGCTGCTTCCTCATTGCTGGTGTGACACGTTCAGGGATCAGAGCGCAGTCTCGACCACTATCATCATCTGACAAGACGATGAGCTCTGAACGAGGTAAGGAATATGGGGGAGAGGGTGCGGGGACATGGTGAGGTGAAGGTTGAGAAGTGAAGGGGGTGAGGGAGGCCGAGGGCGGGTTAGAGAAAGGGGAGATGGAATGCGAGGGAGAGAAATGTGTGTAGGAGTGTAGCTGAGGGTAAGGGGCCATGGAATGTGGAGGAGTGAAGGGGCTGAGAAGGGGTGAAACTGGGATGTGTGGCGGGTACTGTAAGAAGGAGGGATTATTTAAGAGGGAGAGTGGTGGAGTGAAGGGGTTGAGGAAGGGTGGAGGTAAGAAGGAGCTGAGTGATACCAATGGTGGGTGAGGGGTAACAGTGACGTTAGGTGGTGAAAATGGTAGGATGGGAAGTTCCATGATTATCAAAGCGTCGAGCTCATTACATCTGGAAAGAGGAGGTGTTGCTCTACTTCATAATCCTGGGTGTGCGTTAGTTTCAGTAAATTAACAATTTCAAACATTCAGATAGTACAGATAAAAACCGAGGCAAGTCACAGAAAGCAACAACGAGGAAAATAGGCAGAAAACAAGACTAGCAAATAAGACTCAAACTAACAATTATTGAGCAACATTGAAAGTTGAGGGATCGTTTCAGAAACCCAGAGTAGATTTGAAGATAATTACCAATGTTGGTGGCACTTCCTGGCTCCCATTACAGCGGATCAACATTAAACATCAAGGTGCCAGCTCTAACGCCATACCTCATAGCAAAAGGCACTTTTGTATCGACACAGACAATGTAACATGAGCATAATTTTAGATTTAAGCTGCGTCTAGTTTCTCGATGAGTTTGTATAAATAAATAAATTCTAACATTTAATACACGCTTCGACATTAAAACTATAGCCAAAGCTAAAGAAGACGTACATTTAAGTCATGCCAGTGAAACTTAGTGTGGGAAAGAATTATGCACTTTTAATTCAAGAATAGAGAAGCTATGTACGTGGTTATGTGAGAAGTATGGGGTTTTTTAATCAGTATGAGGTTAGTTAATTTTTGGGAACCAGTAACCACATGGAAGTTATGAAAATACTTTATGACCTTAAATATTAATGATTTAAACGGAAAGGCGATTAATGAGATTCAGTTGGAAACTACTGACGTCACCATGACATCATGGTTAATAACTGCTTACGTCACAGAAAGGAGACAGAATGGTATTACACGATTATATATACAATATTATAGTCACGTGAGACGCTGTCACTTGATTAATCAAATATTAGTTACTTCTATACTAATTCCATAATAGTAAACGAGAATGAACGATTTGAGTGGTGAAAAACATTTAATTTTGTCTAAATGTTAAGACTTGAGGAAAGATTTGAAGAAACAATGATGAACCGAATCCCCTTAAAATGTGGTCCCTACATTGCCATGGCCATTGGCCAATGGTGTGATATAATGTGATTCTTCCAATTGAAAATACGGAACAGAATATTAAATTATCCCAGCACAATCGTGACTGCACCATGACCATCATGTTTCAGGGGTTCGACTGACCTGAATTTTCACTTTTTCGTCCGATCATCTTGGAAAGTTTTTTGTACATCCCCATAGACGTAAATAGTAACCAAAAAAATTATTTTTGAAAAATTCGGAAATTTAGGTGTTCCCCAAGCCGTTTCCATGACAACCGCGCTCGCGAACCTCAGAAATCTGGAAAAATTCGATATCTCAGGACCCATTGCACCTACAGAGCTAAAATTAGGCTTAAAAGATGCGGAATCAGCACATTTATATGAGACTTATTAATAAACATATAGCCTAAAGTGCTCACTTTCGTCAAAAATTGCAAAAAACACATTTTTTGTACATTTCCATGGCAACCGCACCCTAAAATTTGGATGTGCATCTCTATTTTTCAGTCAAACTATGAACAGCTCAGAACTACAGGGGGATAACTACAGGGGGAGAACTAGAGGGGAGAGAACAGCTCAGTACTACACCCGAGGAAGAACTACAGGAGGGAGAACAGCTCAGAACTACAGGGGGGGGGGGGAGAACTACAGGGGGGAGAACAGTTCAGAAGAACTACAAGGGGAGAACAGCTCAGAACTACAGGAGGGAGAACTACAGGGGGAGAACAGCTCAGAACTACAGGAGGGAGAACTACAGGGGGAGAACGGCTCAGAACTACAGGAGGGAGAACTACAGGGGAGAGAACAGCTCAGAACTACAGGGGGAGAACAGCTCAGAACTACAGGGGGAGAACAGCTCAGAACTACAGGAGGGAGAACTACAGGGGGAGAACAGCTCAGAAGTATAGGGTGGGAGAACTACAGGGGGAGAACAGTTCAGAACTACAGGGAGAGAACAGCTCAGAACTACAGGGTGGGAGAATTACAGGGTAGAGAACAGCTCAGAACTACAGGGGGAGAACAGCTCAGAACTACAGGAGGGAGAACTACAGGGGGAGAACAGCTCAGAACTACAGGGTGGGAGAACTACAGGGGGAGAACAGTTCAGAACTACAGGAGGAAGAACTACAGGGGGAGAACAGCCCAGAACTACAGGAGGGAGAAATACAGGGGAGAGAACAGCTCAGAACTACAGAGTACAGGGGGAGCACTACAGCGGAGAGAACAGCTCAGAACTACAGGGTGGGAGAACTACAGGGGGGAGAACAGCTCAGAACTACAGGAGGAAGCACTACAGGGGGAGAACAGCTCAGAACTACAGGAGGGAGAACTATAGGGGCAGAACAGCTCAGAACTACAGGGTGGGAGAACTACAGGGAGAGAACAGCTCAGAAGAACTACGGGGGAGAGAACAGCTCAGAAGAACTACAACGGAGAACAGCTCAGAACTACAGGAGGAAGAACTACAGGGGGAGAACAGCTCAGAACTACAGGGTGGGAGAACTACAGGGGGAGAACAGCTCAGAAGAACTACAGGGGAGAGAACAGCTCAGAACTACAGGGGGGAGAACTACAGGGGAGAGAACATCTCAGAAGAACTACAGGGGAAGAACAGCTCAGAACTACAGGGGGAGAACTACAGGGGAGAGAACAGCTCAGAACTACAGGGGGAGAACAGCTCAGAACTACAGGGCCGGGGGAGCACTACAGCGGAGAGAACAGCTCAGAAGTACAGGAGGGAGATCTACGGGGGAGGGGGAACTACAGGGGGAACAGCTCAGAACTACAGGGGGAGAACTACAGGGGGGGAGAACAGCTCAGAACTACAGGGGGGGGGGGGGAGAATTACAGGGAGGGGTAACTACAGGGGAGGGGGAGAACTACATGGTGGAACAGCTCAGAAGAAACTACAGGGATGGGGGAGAATAGCTCAAAAGAACTACATGGGGAGAGAACAGCTCAGAACTACAGGAGGAAGAACTACAGAGGGAGAACAGCTCAGAACTACAGGGGAAGAACTACAGGGGGAGAACAGCTCAGAACTACAGGGGGAGCACTACAGGGGAGAGAACAGCTCAGAACTACAGGGAGGGAGAACTACAGGGGAGGGGTAACTACAGGGGGAACAGCTCAGAACTTCATGGGGGAACAGCTCAGAAGAAACTACAGGGAGGGGGGAGAATAGCTCAAAAGAACTACATGGGGAGAACAGCTCAAAAGAACTACATGGAGAGAGAACAGCTCAGAACTACAGGGGGTGAATTACAGGGGGAGCAGCTCAGAAGTACTATAGGGGGAGAATTACAGGGGAGAGAACAGCTCAGAACTACAGGGAGAGAACAGCTCAGAACTACAGGAGGGAGAACTACAGAGGAGGGGGAGAACTACATGGGGGAACAGCTCAGAATTATGTAGTTCTAACTTCTAAGCTGTTCTCCCTCCTGTAGTTCTTCCTCAGGTGTAGTACTGAGCTGTTCTCTCCCCTATAGTTCTCCCCCTGTAGTTATCCCCCTGTAGTTCTGAACTGTTCATAGTTTGACTGAAAAATAGAGATGCACATCTAAATTTTAGGGCGCGGTTGTCATGGAAATGTACAAAAATGTGTTTTTTGCAATTTTTGACGAAAGTGAGCACTTTAGGCTATATGTTTATTAATAAGTCTCATATAAATGTGCTGATTCCGCATCTTTTAAGCCTAATTTTAGCTCTGTAGGTGCAATGGGTCCTGAGATATCGAATTTTTCCAGATTTCTGAGGTTCGCGAGCGCGGTTGTCATGGAAACGGCTTGGGGAACACCTAAATTTCCGAATTTTTCAAAAATAATTTTTTTGGTTACTATTTACGTCTATGGGGATGTACAAAAAACTTTCCAAGATGATCGGACGAAAAAGTGAAAATTCAGGTCAGTCTAAGTCGACCAACGTGCATGTTAACTGTTAAGACTCTGGCCTTTGCTCTGAATTACTTCAATTGCAAAATGAAACATGGAATTCATGGCCCTAATTACAAATCTAGTCCAATGAGAAAATGGATGAGAAAATATTATCCAATCATGGCAGATCATGAAGCGGCCAGATAATAATATTACTTATCAAGAAACCATGGTTGTTCACTTATTTGAATAATATTATACCGTACAGGCATAAATATCTTGAACTGAACAGGTCAAGGCATAGTCTAGACATAAATTCAGGAACAGTATTCCTGAATCAGTGTCTAGACTTGGACTAAAGAACAGTCTAGAAACAGAGTGAAGAACAGTCTAGAAACAGAGTGAAGAACAGTCTAGAAACAGAGTGAGGAACAGTCTAGAAACAGAGTGAGGAACAGTCTAGAAACAGAGTGAAGAACAGTCTAGAAACAGAGTGAAGAACAGTCTAGAAAGATAATGAAGAACAGTCTAGAAACAGAGTGAAGAACAATCTAGAAACAGAGTGAAGAACAGTCTAGAAACAGAGTGAAGAACAGTCTAGAAACAGAGTGAAGAACAGTCTAGAAACATAATGAAGAACAGTCTAGAAACAGAGTGAAGAACAATCTAGAAACAGAGTGAAGAACAGTCTAGAAACAGAGTGAGGAACAGTATAGAAACAGAGTGAAGAACAGTCTAGAAACAGAGTGAGGAACAGTCTGAAAACAGAGTGAAAGACAGTCTAGAAACAGAGTGAGGAACAGTCTAGAAACAGAGTGAGGAACAGTCTAGAAGCAGAGTGAGGAACAGTCTAGAAACAGAGTGAAGAACAGTCTAGAAACAGAGTGAAGAACAGTATAGATAACTGTAAGAAACCTAAAATACGCCTTCATGAAGTATAGAAGGTAGAAGTGTATAATATAATAATTGTAATTATTACACTCCACCATGCGCGTGAACAGGATAACTGATGAAATATCTCAGATATATGTGAAATAACCTGAAGGTCGTTTAAACAGCAGGACCCCTTACCTAAATTTGATGAAGCTTTGTTATTAGGAAATTAGACAGATTGGAGGTGTACAATCTAAAATCTACATCATGGGGCTAATTTGTTTAAATACGCTGTATCAATGAGTGTG